GCATTGAATTACATTTCTCATGAATTTCATGCAAAAAATAAATATTTTAATATTGAGTTTCTGAGTCTATTTATAACTTTATGACAAATGATCAATATTTCACGTCATTCTTTAATCACCATCGCACTTATTTTGTAAAAAAACGAAATATTGAGATTTGTTTTGTTAATAAAAAAGTAAAAAATATGTAGACTTAATTTAAAATTAAATACACGCAGATAGAAGTCATTTTTATTTTTTTTATTAGATATTTAATTTGTATTTATAAATTTTAATTTTCTCATCTTCGTACATGTTAACATTAATTATTCAATATTAGTTTATTTGTACAATAGTAATCATGACTTTATTTTTTTTTCTGACACATATACATTTTTATAAAAAAATTTTGAAAAAGTGTCATTAATGTGACCAATGATTTTTTTTATGGTATATCACATATTTTTGTAAGCTTAGATATTTAATTTTAAAAATTTTGAAAAAAAATTATATTAGATTTTATATTTTGTTTTTTATTAATAGTTATTATTTCTAGAGTCACGATCTACATGGACCACTCTTACTATAGAGAAATCCTTTAATTGAACTCCTCGGACTAAAACCTGTCTTACACTATGGAATCACAAGACTGACCATACCTATTGAAGATGGAAACCGCGCCCTAGGTTTGTAGATTAATTTTTTTTTTTTTAAATATTAGTGATAACGAAAAGAGTTCATCTACTAATAATGTTGTATTTGTGAAAGTATTTTTAAATGGATTAATAAAATAATTTATTATATATTATCTCAATAAAATTTTAAAAAAATATTTTTCTATTAAATTTTCATTCATTCATACCATTTTTAATATTAGGTCGCGCAACGCGCGGGTCACGTACTAGTATATATTAAAGCCAAGCAGCTAGAAAAAAATTCTTTTTCCCTCCAAAACTACATTTATTATATGAAATAAATTTTGTTAACTTCTATGTAAACACAATCATAAACTTAATTAGTTTTTACAAAAAAAAAAAACCCCTAATTATGTATATATATTTATTTATTTATTAAATATTACTCTCCTATTCCCAAAGCTACATTTACTACACCTTTTTTTAAACTTTTATGTAACTCAACCATAAACATATTAATTTTTATAAATAAATATATAATTATAAATGTAATATTATGTTAAAATTTATTCTCATATTCTCAAGGCCAAGTAATTACACCTTAAATTATGTTGAAGTGGAAGACTATATTAATTTTATTTAATAACATAATTAGTTTTACAAATAAACACTTAATTATAAATATAATTGTTTATTAAAAATTATTATCTTATTCTCAAATCCAAATAATATCACTTCAATTTTGTGGATGGCCATATTAATTATTTTGGTCTTTATTATTTTCAAGGTAAATGGGAGTTTTTTTTTTTACATACTAGAATTTTTATTATTTTCTTCATAGTACTAACATAGGACACAATCTCATTGAAATAAATATTGAAAAAAAAAATCATTTTTAGTATTAAATTTAAAAGTAACATATATATTACTATGGAGTACTTTGAGAAAATGTTACTTTTCCTTCAAGACTATTTATTAATCTCACACAAATGTTATTAATTCCTATGCATGATCTATAATTCAAGACATAATCATAATTATTTTTATAAATAACTACTTAAATATAAATATAATTATTTATTATGAATATATATTAATTTTTAAGGCCAAATTACCAACCTTTTTAATTTTTTGGAGGGTTGCACAAATCATTTTCGTCCCTTTTCCACTTTTGATGGGTAAGTGCAAATTCCTTTTTTTATATAATTTTTTTTTTATTATTATTATTATAAACAATTAACATAATTTCATTTAATAAATATGAAAAACAATTTTCAATGAAAGTGTTTTTTAAAGTTATTTTTTTGGAACTCATGACAATATCTCATTTAGATCAATGTTGGGACAAATTCAAAATGAGATAAAACATTTATCTTTATTTTTCAGTTAGATTTAAGATTTTATGTCAGATTCAAATTGCAATATGTAAAAAATAATTCAAACTTTTTTAATTTTAATTTTAATTTTTATTTTTGTTGGTGTGAATTAGATATATTACACACATCAACACAAATTAAGTAACATACCATCATCTTCTGTTAGTTTTTCTAGAGTTGGATAATTCAAGTAATATTGTTCAAACTATCGGACATATAAAGGGTATAAAATTAAGAAGTAAGGGTATAATATCCAAGTTTGGGGTTGATATCGAAAATAATGGTTTTTTAACGTGAAGGTATAATATCTAAGTTTGTGGATATTATCGAAAATAATGTATTATTAACGTGAATAAATAATGTATTAACTCATTTAGGCTTAGTGTACCTAAATTTATGGAAAAAGTTAAATCAAAATAAAAAAATTATTGTCTGAAAATAATATAATTTTTATTAAAAATAAATAAAATATAGAAGGTTGCATATATTTATTATTGAATGTTATTATAAATGAAATATATAAACTTGTTGACGAGAACATTATGCTAATTTAATTTATATTTTGACTTACTGAATATTGGTTTTAATTTTACAAAAATAAGTCATTTTTTTTTTGTAAAGTAGAATAATAATCTTTTTAAAACACAACAACATCATCTCTAACTTTTTTAGTTGAAAAAAATTAAATAAAATTTCACAATGTGTAAAGACTAAGAGGGTGAATTGAGAACTAATATTTTTAAATATTTTTCAAAATGTAAAATGTCATGCAAGTTATTATTTGGAACTAAATTGACAGGCTTCAAAATTTATAATTTATAAACATTATATTTCATTTACCATTTATTGTGCAATTAAAAATGATGTGAATTTGTGTTCAAAAGTAATAAACTATAAAAAAAACTATCAGAAGCTACTCATCAATTTACATGTATGTTGGAGTAAAAATTGTCTGCTATAATTGTCTTTTCTTTGTCAATGAAATTTTATTTAAACAATTCAATATTTTTGCAGCGAAAACCTCAATGCATATTTCAAGAAGTTTAATTAGCTTTCGTTTATAAATAATATTCAGTCCAAATAGCTCGATATGTTATTGACTTGATGACTAATGACGATATTGAAGAATTTTCTCTTAATTATTCAACAAAAAACTAAAAACACAATTTTAAAGTATAAAGGTGAAATTCTCGCAGCATAATTTTTTTTGTTCTACAATTATCCTTGACGTTTGTCAATTCAAGACTACTATTTAAATTCCAACGACGATAATTTTTATTATGTTGTCTTAGGCAATGTGAGTTGATCAAAGTCAGCTATTGTTGTTATATGTGATATTGTTGCTGAAAAAACATGCACTTAGTCATAATAGTAGCATATTGTTGTTTCTAGAATTATAAACTAAAGAGTAATATTTTCAATGGCAATAGTGATCATAATAAACTCAATTCGCCTACAACTAATGTTATATGTATAATTATTCAAATGTCTAATAAGTGACATTATTGTAAATAAATTGTCATTCATTTAAATTATATTTCATCAATATATTTAACATCATACCGCGCAACGCGCGGGGGTGCCGTACTAGTTTGGGGTTCAAACAGTTGCTTTAAGTATGCATTTTTATTTCATTCCAAATAACAAATCCACACAGCTTTTAGTTTATTTGAACTAAAAATATAATGAGCCCAAATTTGCTTAGCACGTATGAACCCGCTAATATCCTATCCTATTTTTAAATAAGAGGCATTCCAATTTCCACATACAACAACACATCATATCACTTATTAACAGCTTAATTAACTACACGCCTAACCCTAAACGCCTAATATTGTTGGTCTCCACTGTTGATTTTGTAAGCTTAGCCCTGATATTATGCACTGCAGCAACCGCTTGTACCATGTTGATCCTCTCGTCCGGCGACATGGCTGTACATTTCATCGCCAATTCGAAAACGGACAATATGCACTTCTCGTGGGCCTCAAAATGCAGGTCGTCTGTCGACAGAAGGCCCGGGCCCACGACCTCGTTTGGCCCATTTTCCTGTGCGAGTGCTCGGTGTACCCACTCGTGCAAGCTCATTTCCGAGCTAAATGTGTCGTCGGTCGGCTTCTTTCCGGTGAACATCTCGAGCAACAGTATCCCGTAGCTGTACACGTCTCCGCTCGTCGATACCTTCCCTTCTGACCCGTACTCTGTTCACACGACGATAGGACACAATTTTGTTAAATGGGATTGGAATTTTCGTTGGAATTTGATCTCGATTTAAAAAAAATGAAAAAAAAATACGACGATCACATATCTGACCTGGTGCTGCGTAGCCGACAGTAGCCAACGTCTTGGTCAGAACCATAGTCTCCCCATCATCGAAAAGCTTGGAAATCCCAAAATCCGCGACGTGCGCCATCATATCCTCGTCGAGCAACACATTGCTCGGCTTCACGTCGCAATGTACAACCGGAAACGTGTGGCCGTGGTGAAGATACTCCAAGGCCAACGCAACATCGGTCGCCACACTCAGCCTCTTCTCGAGATCCAAAAACTGGCGATCACCACCAGAATGAAGCCATTTCTCGAGGCTCCCGTTGCTCATGTACCCGAGAATAAGCGCCTTGAACTCCGTGTTCGCGCAGCACCCGATAACTGGGACCAAGTTCCTGTGTCGTATCGTGCTCAAAATCTCGCTCTCCGTGTCAAAGCTCTTCTCCCCTGCTTCACTCTGCATGTCGAAAACCTTTACGGCCACTTCCGACCCGTCGTCGAGCGACGCCCGGAAAACCGACCCGAAACCGCCCCTCCCAAGTAGATTTGCCTCGTCGAACGAGTTCGTGTGGCGCTCGAGCTCGAGGTACGATATCCTCTTGTACGCGGCCTTGAGCTCGAGCTCGGCCGGTGCGGCCCGCCGCGCTCTCAATTTCTTCTTCCACCGCCGCCTCAAGAGAAGAACCGCGACTGCCGACAAGATAACG